GTTTTGGGTGGAGGATGGAGTAGAATGTGTAATTGCTTATGTTAGTTAAACACTAAGATTTCAAGTAACAAAGAGAGGACTATTTACAGTTGTAGCATTTTCTAAGCATTGCTGCTGCTACTTACATGTATGATAAGTTCACCATCTATTTGGACCATGCATTGCTAAATGGCTTAGAAACTTTAAGAACCCAGAATAGATTATCACACATTGAAATACAATATTACAGGATTACAGCTTTGTATATCATTATTAAGGACAGAGCACAGTAAGGTGGATAGATTGCCTGTTTGTTACTGGAATATTCCCATTCTGGGCACTATACAGATGTCAAAGCCATTAAAGCTGCAGTGAATATCAATCATATTGTAAGTGAAGATTTCTCTTGTGGATACACTCCCCAAATGACCCTTTAGGAGCCTTGAGAAGAATAACTGACAGATTCATATCTAGCTTGGATACTACGCCCTCTACCAGAAGGTGAAGCATGACTATAAAAGATATAGAAACACTTTTGATATAGAAACACTTTTTTTTGGCGGTCTGACACTTTTATGTACTGTGCCACTGCTATAAGCCACAGAGCCATGTTGCTTAATCTGTGGTGCAGCTAAAAATCCCCAGAGCTCTTAAACTGAGATGCTTCAGAATTGACTTAATACAAACATTGTAGACTATCATAATGGCGTTCACATCTTTATTAACATGCAAAAGTGTATTTATGGTCACATTCACACAGAGAAGATGAGCAAAATCATAGCTATTGTACTGTGTGTGGCTTCCAGAGGGAAGACAATGCTACCACAGAAAGCTCTGGAAGATATTTGTAACATGTTATTCACAGGGAATTGTCCTAGATATATCTGGTGCTCTTCCATGAATGTTAAAGGTAGAAAATATGATGATGTTGTTTGCTATTTATTATTTCACATAGTGGGCAAAAGCTTATCTATTATTGATACATTAAGACTAAACATTGGAGAGCATGATTCTGAAAATTTAGAGAAACAAATATGGACTAATTTCTGCAGCTAGTTTTTTGCAGAGTTGTGTTGTGGTATTAAGTGTAGTAAAGACATGAATTTCACGGTATTATCATCCATAGTCTGATGGTCAGATAGAATAGATTATTCAAACAATAAAATTCATGTTTATAAGGATTGTGGATATTGACTAAACTGACTTACATGAACATCTGACATGCATCAAGTTTGAATATTGAGCAACGGGGCAAAATCAAATGTTTGTTTGCAAAACTCGTTGGTGTTTGGCCGAGAAGCACAGCTCCCAGAGGATGTAATGCTTGGCTCACCTATCAATTCATATGTAATGATGTCCAAAAGAGAACGTGCAGTAGAAAAGATACTGTAACAAGAGAATGAAGGAGCAAGAATTTGAGTCTGGAGACTGAGAAAAGTCTTGTTATGCACCAGCAGCATGAAAGCAACTTAATTATAGATGTGCTATTTCTTAGCTTGTCCTGAAACATCAAATTATGAACTTCAGTGGTCACATGATACACGAAAATGCATTGAAAATGTTAAAAAGCTAAAGTCGAACTTACTGATGAACCCTTCATACAATGTGTGGATCGGGCATCAGAGGTTTAAGAAATAGATGGCTTAGAAGAACATGACAGCACTATTTAGTATGATCTTAGCTCATCTAATGAGGAAGGATTTGCTGGCAGTGTTTATCTGAATGTGCATGAGGTGTGGCTTGACTGCTCCATTGATCAGCCAAATCATTGATGTTATGGCTTAGATTAATAGTTTAACCATTGGTGATGATATTTGTTGCTTGATAAACAAATTTCTAAGAGAAAGATGAATTCTTTTCTGTATAATGTATTGAGCAGTGATTCACAATATATTACTTAGAAAACAGTTAGGACAGCTGGTCAATAGAAAAATTATAGACTGACAAGGTGTTGCGACCCATATCTCTTGAATTATCGAGCAAAATTTATCTGGTTAACTATAGCAGAATTTGTGTGGTGCAAGACACATAATGTCCATTAGGTAAACACAGCTATAAAAGCTGCTGTTGTTACATTGAAGGTAGAGAGAAGTAACAGTTTAAAGTGGCTGGACATGATTGCTAAGCATTCTAATGCATCTGTAAGGTGAGAGAACTTTGGATTTCGTGAACATTCAGATTGATATTTACACTGAAATTCAGCAGGTGTTAGTATGAGACACCTCCTGAGAATACCTGTGTATATTTAAATGTGATTTTAAGTAACATTTACACGCATGTCATACATTTGGATATAAAAGGCTTACACATGGCTTCTAGTTGTACAATGGTTATGCTTTTGGTCAGTACAGAAAATAAATCAAGCTACAATAAACTGTAGCATAAAATTCCTTTTTTTATCAGAATTTGCCTCTGTTGGTTTATTTTGTGATGTCAGTTGAGTAGGTTTGTTGACCCGTAGATGGTGGTGCAATATTGTGATAGTTTAACTATGGGTTCTATTAGCTATCTAGGACAGTAAATATATCTTACTATTGATATGTTGGTATATGCTGTAGTGAACAGACAATTATTTATCCAGGTTAAGTGAATTTTACCAGAAAAAGTTTTAATTTGGCCGAATTCGACCGAACTACAGCTCTCAACATCACACAACTGACTGAGTTCCTGATCTCCCAGAAAATCTGTTAATTAAGCAATTGCAATTTTGACTTTAGTCATATAAGACCAACTTGGAACTACTAGTAACCTAATTTGTTATTAAACTTGACCACAAGTTTCAACATTGTCAAATTTCTCAAATTAACTCATGATGGAAAATAAATTAATGTATTTGTGGATTTCAATGACTATTTGGAAGCGCCTAGGATTGTGGAAACTTTTCAGGACCTGACTGTAGCTAATAAGGAGAAAACAGGGAATAATCTTTCGCTGATGGAAACGTCTGCGATTTGGGCTCCTGTTGAAGCTGCTAATGATAGTAATTCAGGGTTCAGTCATCATGCCATCCAACCAAAGATTCATACCTAACAACCAACTCCAGAGTCATCCATGGCTGCAGGTACATCCACCTCAGAAGCAAGATTGCTCACCTCTCAGCCTTGTCACTCATCCCATAAACACTGGCCACAGATCAGATGAGACAAAGGGAGTGACCCCATCACTCCATGAAGCAGGCGTCAGAAGATTCTCTGAGCCTAGGGAACAAAGAAATGACATCTATGCTTAACCCAGTTTTTCTGGATACCTGGCCACGTAGGTATTCACGGGAACGACCTCGCTGACACCGCAGCTAAGTCTGCTCTGGTGCCCTCACGGTCGAACATGGATTACGGTAGTGTCTCCAAGGGGCGACTTCGTGCCAGTTGGCAGTCGGCTTTGGGTGAGCAACGTCATAACAAGCTTTCCAGATCAAACCTTCTGTTACTCTTTGGCCGTCTTGCTTGCGTAAGGATCGGAAGGAAGAAGTTGTCCTGGCAAGGCTACGCATTAGTCACAGTTTTTTACCTCATCGTTTTCTTTTATCTGGTATTGACCTACCGTTATGTAGCCTTTGTGACACTCAAGTCACAATAGCCCACATTTTACTGTCGTGCCGTCGGTGAGCGGCGACAGTATTTTCGACACGTGTTTTGTCAGGGTTTACTCCTGACGTTGGACAGTGTCATTGGCGATGGTGACACTGTCTAACTTGATTGTATTTTTAATTTTTTACGAACAATTGGCCTTTTTAATTTTATATAAATCTTTTATCCGAATTTTGAACATATTTTGGTTTTAACTCACTGTATTTTTACATTTTACTACAATTTACTTCTACTGTTTTTACCAGTTGTTCGGCGCAGATAGTCTAGTTGCTTTGCGCCATAAAACACCAATAACAAACCAACCAACCTAGAGACTACATATGTTTCGGTGTCCTATAACATCATCTTTATGAGTAACGGTAAAAGCAAGGTTGTAACTTGTATACCCACATAATAATTTACATACCAAAACGCCATCTAGACTTAAACTACCCAAAGTTGCAACACATCTGTCCAGTACTATATTATTTCTAGACCTGGACCAGCTTCCTCGTTTAATACGTATGCATGGTAAGCTGCAAAGCATATTTATCTGGCACAAAGATATGATATCATAGATACGGTTCACTGTAAAGCATGTTTATCCGGCACAAGGATATGATATCACAGATACGGTTCACTGTAAAGCATGTTTATCCGGCACAAGGATATGATATCACAGATACGGTTCACTGTAAAGCATGTTTATCCGGCACAAGGATATGATATCACAGATACGGTTCACTGTAAAGCATGTTTATCCGTCACAAGGATATGATATCACATATGCGCCTGGTTTGTAATTTTTAACTTACTTTTTATCATATTACTTTCATGGATTTATAATTTAGGTTTGGTATGGTCGTGGTATGACCAAGTGACGTTAGTTGTTAACTCACAATTTGATAACTACTTAGTTTAGATCTTTCCCAGCAGTAGAAGGAAAAAGAAGTGTAAGTATCTAGTGTCTTGCGCACTCGTCCATTTGCTTTCTGTGTGTGTTTTGTTTAGAAATGCGTGTGGTTTTATCGTAGATCTTTGTTTTCCAGTTTAGTTTGATTCAGGCAGGGTTAAAACTTTTAGAATTTCATTACATTTCCTACCAAATCTCTTGTTAGAACGGTTACTTCACTTAACTATAGGAAATAATGCACCCAAGAATGTCGTACTAGTTGTTTAGACATTTTTAAGTTTGAAAGTGACTATATGGAACTTTACACCATATATATATCTCCCGTTTTGTCAGTTAGGGTGCTGTAAGAATAAAGTTTTTTTTTCTTTTCTTTTTTTATGCACAGGAAAAACAAGCTACTTTTATTTGAATTGTTACTTATTTAATAGTATCCACGTATACTTAGTAACGTAGATTTAACTCGGAGAACAAAAAATTACTTGATAAAGTATCATATTAGAATTTAGGGTTATTAATAAAATCCAGTGTTTTTGCTTGTGTAGGTTGAATGTAAAAAAGCTCAACCAAAAGAAGTTATGATGCCTAGCGCTATTGTTCGAGGAAGAGGGGCAGGCAGAGGTGTTTATGGTAAGCTAAATCGTACAAGATACCTTAACCTTAAGATAAAGTTTACCTCTTCTTTTAGGACACCAACTGTCTCTCTCTCTCTCTTTGTTGGTGAAAAAGGAAAACTTATTTCAGAATCCGATATTTCTGAGAAAATCCAAATCGTATTATATATGGGAGAGGATTTCAGTGTTCATAGTCAGTTAAGAAATTGAAAGTTGTCAAGCTTAACAAATGAAGCCTAATGTTAAAAAGTAAATCTTTTGTAGATATAACTTCTAATTACAATTCATCTCACCAAAAACTATACAATTATAAGATATGCGTGATTAGTAAAATAAGAAAATTATAAACAACAAATTTTCAAACATTGACTCTAGCAAGTAGGTTTTACAGCCAGTCTGTTCTTGGAATTATTTCTTATGCTCTATTCTAATAGTGTTGATGATAATTAGACTTTATAAACTACGTAATTCCAGTTGCTAAAATCTACAACTCTTATATACAATTATTTTGAAATTTATTCCTCCCAATTTCAGATCTTGTCTGGCCACTCGGAGCACTAACAGAAGGTAAGTGTTACCTTACCTCTTAGTTTCATAAGGACTTTAGATCTCATTTACCTTCTTAAAAAATGTGTTCTGTGTTCGTTTCTGACAGGAAATTCATTAAGAAGATAATAGCCAGAATGTTGCACAAAAAATATATGTAGTATTTTTATGTTGCACGCTGTCTTTTAAAGTAAGGAAATAATTTCTATAAATTGTAATTAGTAGATTAAAAAGAGAATTTTAAATAACATTAAATGTATATGCAATTTTTTTTATAAAAGATGGAGAGATTAATTTTGTAAGTCAAAATAACATAAAAGTACAAGTATAGACTTGTTAAAAAGAAAACTTCCGTACTAATCTAACACGAATCCTTTCGTGAATAGCATCAGTTATTGTTTAGCCTATTTATTAATGCAGTACCACCATCATGTGGCTTACTTTGCTAATGAGTTCATTGTTGGTGTTATATGAAATGAATTGTAAATTATTGGTTTTTTTTGTTTAGAATCTGACGTTCTGTGTACACCCTTGTCTTTCCCGGCTTACAGCTATGGACGTACGAGTTATCCTGGGTATCCTGGCTTCGGTCACTTGTTTGCAGGTATGAACTTTAACATGCAACAGTTATGTGTTCCATGCCCTCTTGACCAATTGAGTGTCTACAATTTAAACGGCTTACAACTGTGACCCCCGCCCGCCCCCTAGCGAGCAAGACAGACGGATCAACGTCGTTAGCTTTACAAAAATTTCCGCCTTTAATCTACTGCACCTAACTTTATCGCAGTATTTGACCGTGATGAGCCTTACGTCTCCGCCTTCGACCAAAACCCGGAATTAACCCGGGTCCATTTATCATATTTACAGTATTCTTTGTTTCTGAATAAGATGAATCCCGCCTAAACAACAGTCCACAATGTTCAACGTAACAACGGGTTCATATAAATTTTCGGACAACGAGGGTGTTAAATATTGTGACAAAAAGTATTACATACCAAACGTATTTTTTTGTGCCAAAGGAGAAAGTATTAAGAAGTTTTGTATTTTGCTAATTTTTGGTTTAATTTTTCTTAAATGAAAATGAACATTGATTCACTTAATTAACCTCTAATGAATTATGATTTAAAAACATTGACTATCATACGTAATTCCAACGAAATGATACACATATCAATTTCCATACTAAGTTCACATTGTTCGAAAGTATATATATATATATAACTCATTGTACATTTAAGTTTTAATTGAATGCTCAGAAAGCTTCCTAAAGTAAAAGTAAGCCTGATCTAGTGTAGCAACGTGTACTTGAAACTAGCATAACATGAATGTTGTACGAAAAGGATGATCAATAAGCACGTTTTAAGGTAAATGTTTCATAAAATACAAAATCCCGTATGGAGTGATTGTTGTACGTTAAGTAATTATATGCTGTTTAATATCTCGGATATATCTCTTGCTAAAAAATAACCGGAAGGAAAATGTTAATACCCTCCAGGGACCAATAGCACTTTCTCTCTGTGCTACAGTCCCAGTAGCTGACAGCTGGGAAAATTACAGTATCATGTGAAGATTCAGTTTATTACTCAATTCATAACTATCAAACTCCAGTATTGAAACTTGTGGTTAATGTGCAACAATGATATTCTAAATCATGTGGAAGAAAGTGTGCATATGCGTTACTTAAATTATTGGTATTTAAAATTCACATGGTGAACTGTATGTTGATCGTGTGCACGTTGCAAGGCTGTCCTATGTTAAATAAAATAATAAACTGTGTGTTTGTTATGAGTATGTATTTTTAACGTATACATGTTGTAACACTTTAGTATATTAACTCACATGGTGAGCTATGTCTTTAACGTATACATGTTGTAACACTCTCACATGGATACCGTAGCCCGATGACATAACGGTAAGTCTAGTCTACGGATTCACAACGTTAAAATCAAGGGTTTCGATTCCCCTCGGTGGACACAGCAGATAGCCCAATGTGGCTTTGCTATAAAAACACACAAGTGGAGAACTGTGCATGTTGTAACACTATTATGTATTAACCCAAGCGATGAACTGTATGTTTAGGATTGCATGTTGTAACACTATTATGTATTAACCCAAGCGATGAACTGTATGTTTAGGATTGCATGTTGTAACACTATTATGTATTAACCCAAGCGATGAACTGTATGTTTAGGATTGCATGTTGTAACAGTGCAGTGTATTAACTGACGTTATGAACTGTGTATTTGGGATGTGCATATTGTAATAGTGTGGTTTATTTAACTCACGTGGCGAACTGTATGTTTAGGAATGCATGTTGTAACAGTGCAGTGTATTAACTGACGTTATGAACTGTGTATTTGGGATGTGCATATTGTAATAGTGTGGTTTATTTAACTCACGTGGCGAACTGTGTTTAGAGTGCGCATGTTGTAATACTGCAGTGTATTATCTCACAAGGTGAACTATGTGTTTAGGATGTGTAGTTGTAACACAATAGACTCGGTAATGTATTACCTTTCGTGGTGAACTGTGTGTTTAGTGTGTGCATATTGTAATACTGTAATGTGTTAAACTCACGTGATTAACTGTGTTTCTTTATCATGTACTTGTTGCAACGCTGGTATTTTATCGTTATGGATCCTAAGAATACAAGTTTCCAGACCTTACTATAAAATTTGTTCGTTTTTGAAAGTTCTTTAAATACATTTTGAACAACGTATCTATTAAATGTTTTAGTTCGTATACTTTCTACCTGCGCGTACTGTAGCTAAGCATAGCAGTTCTAAGTTGAAAATTAAATATTAGATGACTGAAATCGGGTATCCTCACTCCTAAGTGCAATACCAGTTAACATTAAGTGTTTTATTAGCGTCTTTAATGTGAACTATGAATTATTTGGATATGATGGATTTGTTCAAGATTAAGAAAATAAATGGTTTCAACCGAAATACTTGTGCAGTTACTTGTAGTTTTAGTAACACCATCTAATATGACTAGTTTAGGTAGCTCACTCAGACTTTTACAAAGTTCTAGCCTTTCCTGAAACTTAAGATACTCTATTCCGCCTTTTTTCCTATACGATATCTTCCAAAACGTTTGAAAAAATCAGAAACATTGGTCTCAGGAATAAAGACCTAGTTTTGTATTTACATTTTACTTCAAATTAACGTCAATACCTTTAACACCGCATTTCTATTGTTCTAAGTTAAACAACATTATCGCACGTTGCATTTACACCATATATATATATTCACAAATTTGGTCGTTATTCATAATATCAAAAGACAGTTTCACTTACACGTACAATTCTGGAACTTTTCTGTTAAAAATACTAAACAACATTAGGTTATGCTGGAAATTACGTAACTCTGCTACATGAGTTCACGTAGAATATTACGTCACTTTCATTTCATTAAGTTACATTAACTTTATGGATTGCTTTCATTCAGACTTCTACTGTATATTCTTTAATTGGAACTTTTACTTACTTGGTTTAAAAGTGCCTAAAAGTTTATATTTTTTTCTAATCGTGACAAATGTTCATTAGTTTAGCTATCTCGATTAACATGTTGTCTTGCTAGCAACACATTACATAGGAAAGCTCCAATAAGATAACTTTAATTAATTGAATCTCTCCAACAGAACCTTCCAATTTTTCTGATATTATAATTTCTTTGTTTTTGTAAAACTTTCTTGTTCCAGAAAATCATCTTCAAAATGTGTATTACCCACGCTAGGAAACGTATTTACTTCACTCTAAAGAAACAAAGTGGTGTTAAAAGCTATAAAGAGTATTTCGAGGGGAAATTGATATTTTGATAAAAACTGCAAACTATAAAATCACGAAATTGGGTTTCAAGTTCACATCTAATTGAATTTTATAACAATGTCTATTCTTATATTCTTTGTTCTAAGATTTTACTCCATTTGCGTCTTCTTCAGAACAAATCAGCTCAGGATCTGGCAATACACTGTGGCTAGAACAAACTTTAATCCTACAAAATCCCGATCTTGCACTGTTTTAAGCGATCGTCACCAATCTCTTAGTAACCCAAATAACGATTATTTAACAATTAACGATTACTTCTAAAAACGATTACTTACGTATCACAAAAATCACACAAGTATTGTAGAATGTATAAGTTATAAACAAGTATAAATTTGTATTTTTTATATATAAACACATAATCTACCAGTGAGTGTTTACACATTCTTTTGAAATAATTTCATTATACAGTATATTCAAAAAAAGAGTACAAAAATGATGCCTTAGAATTAGGAGTTGCAATCGATCTGTTTAACAAAATTATTTAAGCCACAGTTTAGTGAGATTAACAGCTTATCCAGAAAAATGTATGGAGATTACTCCAGTACAGCCACACACTTTCCGTACTTTTTAAACTAACGTCTGGGCATTTTTCTTATATACAACAATAATAATATGTCTATCAGTTCTTTGCCAAATGTTTACTGAATGTTCTCGTCACACGTTTCACAGTACTCCTTTACGTTCTCTTATACCGAAAACAATTTACTTTATTTTCAAGCATTTTTTATTTTATCTTTTAATATATTCATCTATAAATGCTCTTTTATTGTGTATAACCATTTTATACTATCAGTTATATTATAAATTGTTGTGTGTGTACTTTAGTTCTTAGTTATCCTTGTAGTGAAGATTCATTTAGTTTTGTTTCGCTACGCCTAATCTTCTCTCTTTCTAGCTGTCGTTTCTTAACTGATTTAGATTATTTCGTACAACATTCTTTCTAAAGACGTCAGACAATCTCACCCAAAATATTTAACAGAATAAATCTCCCGTCACTTTAGGCAGTGTATCCTATTCATTAGAAATCTCAGTATAGAAAACCTCCTTTCCGCATGACGTAGTAACTAGTATAATATAGTTGTGATTCATTTGACTAGAATCCCAACCTAAACTGCTATGCTTAGTTACTGTATTAGTTTTTTGTTGTTGTTGTCATAGTTTCTGTAGTTGAGAAAGTTCTTAACCACGAACTAGGTATTTGTTATTACTCTTTTGTAGTATTCTTGTTTTACTTTGAATTTAGTTGGATTTCAAACGTTAAATTTCCCTATTAGTTGCTGATTCGATGTGTTGATAATTAGCGTGGTAGCTCATGGAAAGATGGACCTGTAACAAAGAAACCGCATTTTGCAAATGAAAAAATAGAGCTATAACAAAGAAAGCACATTTTGCACAAAGAAACTTGATACTTTATGCACTGATTGTTGTCATCGTTTTTGATAAAGTTCATTGTAACTGAAGATTGGTAAATGGCACTCTGGATTACCAGTGTGTGAAACTGGCAAGAACAGGGGTGGTAAATGAAACTCACTTGGTTAGAATTGTTTGACAATCTTTAATAAAATTTGTCAACATCAGCACCGTTTTCCGAAAATAACAAAAGTTGATCCGTTGAATAAACGTTAACATGAAGAAATTTGATATTCTGGTTTACGTTACTGAAGCATAGCTAAACACTTCATTGTGTTGTGACTAAATACTGACAATCAATGAATTAGGGCCAGATACTGCGCACCGTTTATAGAAGTTAAGACTGGTCACAAAGTGTTACCGCA